GTCAGGGCGGCTAGGGTCTGGAACCAACTTCCAAGGGAGGTGGTGCAGGCTCCTACCCTGGGGGTTTTTAAGAAGAGGTTAGATGAACACCTTGCTGGGGTCGTTTGACCCCAGTACTCTTTCCTGCCATGGCAGGGGGTTGGACTAGATGATCTTCTCAGGTCCCTTCTGACCCTAGAAACTATGAAACTTTCCACAGTCACTGCTATGAACAGCCTATGAACTGCTGCCTCTCTACCTTTAATCTGTCTAGCATGGGTGCCAATAGCAGTGAAGCTGTGGCAGTATGGGCTCCACAGTGGGCTGTACAAGCCTTTACAGGACCCTGGATGCAGGTCAGCTGGCTCAGAAGTCTATGCTGTGACCACTTCACTGCTTCTGACACCTAAACTAGTAAATCAAAGCTAGGGATTCTCTCTGCAGTGTACTTACCCTGAGTGAGACATATTGTCCAAATGAGAAGAAAATGAGAATAATATCAAACAAAATAAGATCTAATCTACTGGAGGACGTCAAAAAAATTGGTAAGGAAGAGTTGAGATACTAGGCGCTACATGAAATACTAAATGTGCAGTAGACTAACTCTACTGTGCATTAGTGTGGCAGGCAAAAACCGTGCTAATGCACAGTGGAATTAGTCTACTGTACATTAGTGTCACAAAAAAGCATGTGCTGGTGCTACTGCACAGTAGTGCCAATTAAAGCTCATTAAATTAGTACCTGTTATTACAGGTACTAAACTTAAATGTGCCGTAATTATGGCACATTAATGAACATGTAGACGGCACTCTATTTATTAAAGACTATGTGATTCCAGCTCATTCAAGCTTCAAAGCAATTAAAATATAAAGTGTGGATTTTCAAAATGAGACAAAAAATATCTAAGTTGCTTGTTGATCCTCCACAACCTCTTGATTATGAAGATGGTGATAATTTATTTTTATCATGTTTGTCTCAGAGTTTCTTTTCCGTGTTTAAATTCATCGCTTATTGATTCACCTCCAAACCTTGGTGCTCAATACTGCAAATCCTTGAAAAGACCAAAGCCCTTACACATTAATACAAGCTTTGTAATCCTTATGCAGATAAGATGAACCCCATTATCAGGGCAGTTTTCAGTTTTGTGACCTCTTCACATTAATTAGCATATGCGGGAGTTTGAAAAGCACACTATTGGCTGGGTCAGCACATTCTCTTACAGCTTTAGTGACCATCAAACTTTGTTGTAATATGAACGTACCCTGAGAAAAGAAGTTTATGGCAACAACAAAAAAAAGATAAGAAATGCTATCATTTTGGGTTGGATTCTTTTCTCAGTAACACTTAGCATATTCCTTAATTATCTTCTTTCATTTAACACAGAGTTGCTGAGATTAGAATATTGTCCATAATTCATAAAAATAGAGGTATTGATATGTGTACATTTTGAAACGGGGATATAGGATGCACCATACAGGATCTAAACCTAATTAAATCTAGCAGCCTGCCACTGGAAGCAGGCAGTGATCTGTAAAAATATGAGATTCTCTGTTCTACCTTCTCTTCAGGCCCAGCAATTCACTTACCCAATTTAAGAATTTAGAAGACAGTTTCTAGTAAGGGGACAAAGTCCAGGAATAGATACAAAAAATCTGGAATCCACCACCAGGTTCCAGGAATAATGCTTTAGAACAGCTGGCTCTGGAGAGGCAAAAGCCTGCACTGGTCTGCTTTTCCACCTGGTGCAGGGGTGGGCAAAATTGTGGATCCAGGCAACACCTGGACTGCATTCCTAGCAGCCCCTTCCCATGTCACTGGCTGGTTTCCATGGAGTCCCCAGCAGCTGGCAGGGCCGTGACAGTGCAGGGCTAGGATTTCCATGGAGACTGGCCCCAGCAGTGCTGGCAGGGCACGTGGCTGAGCAGGGAGCTGCTCTAGGGCTGGGATCTTGTGGCAGTGACAATGTGGTCCAGAGCCCGGGCAGAACTGGGATCAGCTGCCTGGGGGGTGTGGGCAGCGGATAGCAATTCTGACTCAGTTGTGGATTATACTGTCACCGCCACAAGATCCCCGGCAGTGACAGTGGCTCCCCACCCAGCCATGTGCCCTGCCAGCGCTGCTGGGGCCAGTCTCTGTGGAAACCCTGGCCCCTCACTGTCAAGGCCCTGCCACTGCTGGGGTCTCCATGGAAACCAGCGGCAGTGACGTGGGCAGGATCCACTGAGAAATGGAGTCCACTGCAGACCTGATCTAGCCCATAGGCTGGACTTTGCCGACCCCTGACCTGGTGTGCTCTTATTTCTCTCTGTCCTTCTGGCTTCTGTGAAAGGGAGGCATCAGAGTCCCTGTTTCTCCACACCTGCTCTGGAATAGCATGAATAACTTCCACATGCCTGCCTCCGATTCAAAATCTTGTGAAACCATCTAGAAAAAGACTGATTTCATGGTGCTGCTGCTTGGCACAGAAGAAAGTCAGGAAGATGATTGTGTTTGGGTTCACATTCTGATTTAGTTGGGATGATTTTCTGGAAGAAAAAAAAGGAAAGCCTAGATACTGCAGATATGATGGTGTAGATTTCCTGGCCAGCCCAGAGGACTGTCTTTCTTGGCAGGCCTCCCTGCTCCTTATACATGTTAAGTTTAAAAATAATGGCTTTCTGAGACTAATCCAGGGTCCAGAAATAGATATTTTATTGCTATTTTAAAAATTTTCAGCATGTAAAGGACATTATACTACAGTCAAACCCTTTACTGGAGGCCTTTGGGAATGCGAAGACCGTACGGAACAACAACTCCAGCAGATTTGTAAGTTTCTCTCCCAAAGATTGCTTTATCCTCTTAGCATCTGTGGGTTTGGTCTGGGCATCTTTGTGAAGGAAAAATTTTTTATATAATTTGAGAGAGGTATATATTTCAAGGTCCCCTAGATCAAATGGCCCATTTGTTTCTACATATTGGACATAAGACAAGATATTTATAAGCATTTGATATGTAAACAAGACCACTAGCAACCTAAGCAGGAAAGAATGAGTGGGAAAGAATTAATATATATATTTTCTCAGTTAGTAAAATTATAAGCTCTAACTTTGTTTTAATAGATGAAACAATTTCTGTTGCCAGGCAATAGGGATACTGATCTTTTCTGAAAAGCAGTGAGGAATTACTTTCAGCATTTGATTATAAATGTGATACTACATATACTAAATAATAGCCTGTTGTTACATTCTAGGTTTAGATTTGAATGAGGTAACCCTTTCGAATTTATTTGAGAAGAGCAAACATGGAAGCATGGGTAATATGTAATAGGAGCAAAATTATACTTCACATATGGGGCTGAACACACTATTGGTGTTAATGGATGTTGTTTACACTGGCAAGGAATATAACCTACATTTTTCAAAATTAAATCCTTTCTGAAAATATAGCACATACAATATTAATATCTTGGCAGCTGTTTGGATATAAAGCAAAATAAAGTATGCAGCTGACATCTGCTGCAACAGAAAAAAATTATAAAACAATTGTGATCCTTGTTGGTTTCCAGTGCATTTCTTTTGCTCAGACTGTTATCTGTGTTAACAGTGCAACCAGCACAACAGATTTTTTACTCTTTCATTCCTTTTTTGCTCCTTTGCACAGGAGATGCCAGAGCTCATTCTTCAGCTGGCTTAATGGTTCCTGATGCAACTCCTCAGTTTACCACACAAAAGTATTATTGGTGTACCTCATCTGAAACTAAAAGGGCATAGTCACCATTAGTCTGAGTGGATATAAATATATTGACTGCCTGCAGTTGCTTCCTCACATAGCAGCAGTAAATTTGGCACTCATTATTTCTTTACTCCAATCCATTTAACATATATCAACCAACTCAGCAGAGGAAATTAGTCCCCAGTTAGCCTAAAATCATTGTTCCAATGTGGTCTAAAATTATTATCCTGAGCTTCAAACTATGTAAACACACATGGAAAAGAGGGAAGACTAGTTGTTTAAGAATCCAGGCCTATTTTAGCTTTTAGAGGCTTAGAAGATTGAAGCAATGCAGAATAAATATCCCACTTAGTTTCCTTGAATTGTACTGCAACAGGTGTGTGCTTTAAGTTTAAAATTTATTAATCACTCATGAACCTCTATAATTATTTATTGCAGGGAAAATACTTTGAAATCCAGTTTAGCCCAGGTGGAGAACCAGATGGTGGGAAAATCTCCAACTTCCTGCTGGAAAAATCTCGGGTAGTAATGAGGAATCCTGGAGAGAGGAGTTTTCACATTTTTTACCAGGTTAGAAGCATACAGTTTCCTTCTCAGTTATTAAAAAAGTTTTCCAGTTTTTCATGTTTATTGAAAAGTCTGCCTCAGTGAAATCATGCTGTTGAATGCATATTCTTGAGGGCAACTTGGTTATTGGTGGAAGCCTTTACAACACATCAAGACATTTTTTGATATGGACCTAGTCAGTGGCATGAATCTCTTTCCAAATACAGAAAAAATCTCTCTGCATTAAAGTATTTCTTGGGGCTCATTTGGTAATTCACTGTGGAGTCCCATATAGAAAATATGCTACAGAAAATCATAACTTTCCCACAGTTATAATTCAGACCACTATATAATTATAATTTATTACATGTTATGCTCTAGGATTCCATAGCATGCTGGAAAAATAAAATAAAGAGGCCATTCTATAAAAGTTATGTCAGATGTAAGATCATTTCTATAGAACCTTCTAGGTTTCAACTCTGTTGCATTCTGCAAGACTTTTCCTAAGAGCTGTTTTTCTTTTGCTACTGTTCCATGTGAAAGATCCAGGATATTTAGCTAGATTTTATCTGATTCTGGTGGTTTCCTTTTGCAGCTTATTGAAGGTGCCTCCTCAGAGCAAAAAAGCAACCTGGGCATTACCAGCATGGACTACTATTACTACCTGAGCCTCTCGGGATCCTACAAAGTAGATGACATTAATGACAAATCTGATTTCCAGGAAACACTGGTATGTTTTTAAAGTGAGTGTGAGAGACAAATAGGCAGTAGTGTAACTTGGGGTGGGTGAGACGGGCACCTGCCCTGGGTGCCAAGTTAGGAGGGTTGCCAGAATTGCTTCCCACCCCTGTGGAGCCTGTGCCCCAGCAGCAAGAGCAGCCCCAGGGCTTATCCGTGCTGGGACTCCAAAACAGTCCCCAGCTGCTGCTGCTTTAAGAGCAACAGCTGGGAAGGGCAGAGCAGTAGCTTACCTGGGGGCTGCCTTCTCTTCCCCCAAGTCTTGGATTTCCTGTGCACTCCCCACTTTCCCACATGATTTGCCCAGGACATCAACTCTGCTTGTCACACCTCTGCAAACAGGCATAACTATAAGGATGACAAAGAGAGTTTTGGAATGAGAACCTCAAGTTGAAAATGCTGGTAGATAAAAAACCTCACCCATTTCATTTAAACTGTCCTTTTTTGAAAGGGCACCCTTTGAGGTTATGTCTATGTAGTAAATTTTAACACGGTCCAGAGCGGCATCTGCAAGCATGATGCACTGCTCAAGGTGGGCTGCTTCATAAACTGGAAGCCATGTCATATCCAGGTAGTGACACAGGCAGGATAATTAGCATTGAACAACAATGCCAGCTAACACTCCCATGCTAATTAGCCAGCATGCATCATCATATGAAGGCAGGAGCATTGCTTCTCCTGTAGGGGAAATAGCACAGTGTGCTTAAGGATACCACTCTAGAGTACAGTAAATTTACAGTAGGCCTTTTGAATTGCACTCTGGTCATTCTGCTAAGGTAGTTACCTTGTAGAACATGCTTTTCATCAGGGATTTATAGGAAGGCATCTTTGGCAACATAGCACACTGAAGAGCTTCAATTAAAAAGTAAAAGTGAAAAAGAGAACTCTATATATGAAGTATCATGGCCTGAAGGGTTGAAGGATTTGAAATGGGGAGACTAAGGTTCTGGCTCCAGCTGCTACTGACTTCCTGTGCAGCCAGTGATATGTCAAGAAAACCTTTGATGCTCAGTTTTACAATATGTATAAAGGGGTAGTAACATTTATCTACCCTTGCAGCCACCAGGATGAAACATTATATGTCAGGTATCATTGTCATTACAGGATCAGTTAATGTAGCAAAAGTGACAGGTAGGACTTTTATAAATCGAGTTCCTTATTAATAGCACATCCTAAAAAATTATTCCTGTGGAGCAGTTGTTTCATGATTGGCTGAAGTACACAGCCAAAGCCAGACAGAATATAACTGTTCTGTGGTAGTAGAATCATATACTATGTATGAAGCTCGTATACTATTCTATGGTAGTAGAGTCATATACTATCTGTCACTTTTTTTATCTTAAACTTAATTGTTTTTATTCTGAGTTATTTAAGAGACTTGCTCAAAAACTATTTACAGAACGTGAAACGTGATGTCTTTTTCTTCACCAGCATGCAATGAATGTGATTGGGATCTTTGCGGAGGAGCAGACACTGGTGCTACAAATAGTAGCAGGAATCCTGCACTTGGGAAACATCAGCTTCAAAGAAGTTGGCAACTATGCTGCTGTGGAGAGTGAGGAGTGTAGGTAGCTCTGGAAACCATTACAGAATTAATGGTGATGCAGCAGGTTGAGGCTCAGATGTTGTGATGTAATGAACTGCACTTGGAAGCTGCTTATCCAAATACAGTGCATCATTTCTCATGATCTGAGTGTCTCTTAAAAAAAACCTGGACCATATTCAGACTTCTGCTGTGCACCATGCAATCCAAGTAACTTATTTAATAAGAGCAGAATTTTACACTTTGAACATAATCTAAAGAGAATGTTTTTGTGTATTTGAGCGAGAGTTCAGTGGACAAACTTAATGTCCTCCAAATGCAGCGGTGTTCAGATCCCAGCAGGATTTGATTCTCCGTTTTACCTGTCATGACCCTGAAAAGGTGTAATACTAGCTTGACTATCCTCATCCCCAAAATTCTGCCTTTTAAATTGAATGTGTATTACTTATATAAACACACTAAAATTCAGGACATAGTATAAAATAGTATCTACTGCTTCTAGGGTCTGGGCCACCCCCTATTTCTAGCCTATAAACACTTCCTTATCCACAACCTCTTGTCTTGGGTTCCTACAGATTTTGCTCAGTGTACCACACCTGCTAGTTCCATATCTATGGAAGAAAAGACAAGCGGATCTATATGTCTTAGTTATTATGCTTGGCCTATAGCAATATTTCTGCACTTCTTCACATTTAGCATAGCACACACTGGATAAGTAGCTGTGCAACTACTTTAACAGCTGTTATTTTAAAAAACTTCTGATTAGTTTATTATACAGAATTCTTGGGGAAATTGCAGCTTTTGATAAGGCTTTAGGATCAGTGTCCTATCAGTGGTCCTTTATATCTGAAGTGTTGATGGTTTCTCCAGTCCTCCCCCACCACTGCCACATTTTTCAAGCCCTTCAACAACCAGCTAGTGATGAAAGAAGCAGGATTGTGAGGCCTAGCAGCTCTTGGTCATGAACTGACATGGAGGCAGCAGTTATGAGAAGGTCATTTAGCACTTGGACAAGACAGGAGTGAAACTCAGCAGCTGTAACTGTGATTGAGTAGCTCTCTTTAGGATCCTCACTGCTTAACCCACATGGGAAGGAGGCTAGAAAAGATGTCTTAAACATAGTCTGGCTAGCTTTTTCCTGACTGAATAACCATGTCCAGTGGGATCATCTTTACTGCAGCCAAAATCAACAAAGTCACACAATCAGTTTTGGAACCTGGAACATCAGGACCATCATGGACAGTTCTAATAGTGAAAACTCAGAGCACTGCACTGCAATCATGGCTCCAGAACTCAGGCAAGAACACTTACATCACTGCACAGGGTGAGACCTGGCAAGTGAGAGGTGGGCGGCACAAAGAGCAAGGTGGTAGCTGTTCTCTGTTCTGGAAGAGTAAACAGGAAGGAGAACATTGATTTTCCAAGTTGGCTTTGCCATTAAGAATGAACTCATAAACCAGCTCAACAAACTACCGATCAGAATTAATGAGCACCTCTGTCTCAAATTGGCAGAGAGCCAATATGCTACTGTCATCAGCATGTATTCCCTGAGTCTTGATGCAGCTATCAAGAACAAGGAGAAATTCTATGCCAACCATGAGCACGTCCTTTCTGATGTTCTGGAGGAAGACTGTTTTATTCTGCTTAGTAATTTCAGTGCTAGAGCTGAATGGGACTCAAACCTCTGGAATGGAACCACAGGCAAGGAAGGAGTGGGAAAGTTAACTCCAATAGTATCCTCCACCTGATCAAATGCACGGAATGTCGACTCACGATCACCAATACCCTGTTCTGCTACAAAAACAGTACAAGACATCATGGCAACACCCATGATCTAAGCATAGTCACTTGGTTGACTATGCCACTGTTTGTGCCCAGGATCACAAAGATGACTATATCACTTGAGCTATGCTAAAATCTGATGATTGCTGGACCAATTACTGATGCATCTGCTCAGTTATTTCACTCAAACTGCCACCCAAACTGTGACTACAGCAAAAGCAATGCCAACAGAAGGTCAGCATCACAGGACCCAAGGACCTAATCAAGTGAGATCTCTTCCACCAGCCTCAACAAAAAATTGACAAATTCCAATCAATAACAATGGGAAAATGATAACAGTGCTTGGAGTACCTTCAAGTTCACCACCATCAGCACCTGTGATGAGATGCTTGGATTGTTTACTGGAAAGCACCAAGACTGGTTTGAAGAGAATGAGCAGGAGATCCAAAAGTTGGACCGGCTACAAGTGCAAGACCTTTCATGCTTGGCAGAATGACACCAACTCCAAGCAAAAGAAATTGAATCACCAACAAGCCGAGGCAGAAGTCCAGTGGAGGACCACGATATGAAGAACAGATGGTGGAAAGAAAAAGCGAAAGAGATTCAATGTCTCACCAGCATCCATGATACAAGCGGTTTCTTTAGTGCCACGAAAGCCACCTAAGGTCCAAGCGCTTGGGGACCAACCCCTTTGAGACCTAAGTATGGAAGAGACCTGATCAAGGAAAAGGGAGTCATCAACACTTGTTGTAAAGAATATTTTGAAGACTTCTCAATAGAGACTGTGCTGTTGACAATAGAGTTCTCAATTCCATCCCGCAACACCCAGTCAGAGACCATCACCAAATCCCTCCAGCGTGAGTGTTTGAAGACTGTGACATCAAATCTGAAACCAAGCTCATGGTTTATCAAGCAGTCATGATCCCCACCTTACTGTACAGAGCTGACACATGAACAGCATACAGGAGATGCTTCAAGACACTAGAGAAGTACCATCAACACTGCCTGCAGAAGATGCTTCAAATCCAGTGGGAAGACAGATGCACCAAAATGTTAGTGTCTTCTCTCAAGCAAACACCTGAGCATTGAGGCAGTGATCATCCAACATCATCTTCACTGAGCCAGCCACATCATCCAAATGTCCAATTCCAGATTCCCAAAACAAGTCTTATTCTCCCAGCTCAGTCAAGGTGTACACTCAAAAGGAGGGCAGAGAAAGTACTTCAAGAATGTTCTCAAGGCCAGCTTGGAAAAAAAAAATGCAACTTTGACATCAATATCACCCCAAATGGAGGAAAAGTCTGCTGCAAGGATCTCAGTACTTCGAAATCTCACAACGAGAACAGGAGATGGAAAAGCAGGAGTGGCAGAAACAGCATGTCATAAACCAAACCAAGAATCCAGAGCCACCCACCCCACACGGAAACAGATGCCCGAGTTATAATAGAACCTGTTGATCTGGGATTGGCCTTATCAGCCATCTTTGTACCCTCAGATAGGGCAATCATGGACGGCAATCATTCTCGACTGGGAGGGATTACGAACTATGAGAAAGCTGGGTACTCTTTGCTTTCCATTCCAAAGAAAGCACTTTATTTTTTGTTGTAAAAACAACCGTGCTTCTTGTTGCGGGTTGATCAAATAAGCCTGTTTATTGTAACAGTCTACAAAAAGGATGATGTGAATGTGCTTCAAGAGTAGGATTCTTTTGAACCACCACGTTGAAGAAGACAATTAAATGTTTGTACCCAGAGAAGCCTCAGATGTATTTATCATAATATATCTATTTTTTCACTTACTATGCTTTACCCTTAACACTTCCAAATTTTACATGGTGACGTGTGATATAATACTTCATTATAGACAAAGAAAAGTTATGCAATTGAAACAGCAATGTATTTTCTGTAGTCACTAAACAAGAAAGACACGTGAAGATTGTATACTTTTAAGGGTTAGGCTGCTACTCGGTTCCCCTCTAGGAATCACTGTTGCACATAGGTAGAGATGGGCAGAGTTTGAGGGAGAGCTGCAAGAGGAGTCATGGCTGTCTGGGTTCTGTTGGCATGAATAAAGAAACCTCTTTGTTGAGGTGACTTATGATTCAGTGAACTAAACCCGCAACGTGATAGGACATAGTGGCTTTTAGATTTCTGCAGTGAAAGTGGTGGCCTAATTTGTGTTCTGGGCAGTATGTAGTTGACAGCTCTCATCTTTAACTACATCTCCTTCAGGTTAGTCATGAGGTGATGTAACTATGGAATAGGACCTACATTTAGTGCATGTCCTGTTCCTCTCTTGCTACTTGTTGCACCAGTAACACATCGCATCAGTAGTAGGCAGCTGGAGTGCCCCATCAGGAGGCCTTGATTACAAGGATCTATCAATAATCGAGCCTAGCAGCATCCCACTAAATAGCAAAGAACCTTGTACACGAAGATACTGTAGGACAAGATTATAGTGCTATTAAAAGTCAAGGCTATGATAAGGTTTTCTACATCAGAACCAAGAAAGGGCTTAAAGAAGTGATCCTATATTATCATTTTTATATATATATTTCATAGATTTCATAGACATTAGGGCTGGAAGGGACCTCGGAATATCGAGTCCAGCCTCCTGCCCAAAGGGAAGGAAGTCAGCTGGGGTCATAGGATCCCAGCAAGATAAGCATGATAATATAGGACCACTTCTTTAAGCTCTTTCTTGGTTCTGATGTGTATATATAGAAACATAGGCTTGGCAAAGTACTTAAAAGGTAATCAGATTCATCCTCCTGCACTGAGGTGGAATTAAGTATGCCTGTCTCATCCTCACACTCCTTGTCTAACCTGTTCTTCTTGTCTTTTCTAGAAAAATAAACCCAAATTCTTTCCACTTTTCCTCACAGACTCATTTTTTTGCTGCTCCCTCTAGACTCTTTCCAGTTTTTCTACATATTTCTGCAAGTATGGTGCCCAAAAATGAACTGAGTACTTCAGCTAAGGGTAATCATTTCAATCTTCACGGATGTGGTGAAGCCTTGTGTCTTACATACAACACTCTTGTCAATGCATCCCAAAAGGACATATGCTTTTTTTGCAGTGGCATCTCATTGTTGTCTCATTCAGTTTGTGATCCATTTCCCAGATCCTTCTTTTGGGCCCTTCTCCCTCACCAGATAGTCTCCATTTTGTATTTGGGGGGTTATTTTTTCTTTTCTAAGTGTAGTATTTTGGGCTTGCCTTCATTGAATTTAATCTTTTTTTTTAATTTTAAAGCACTTGTTCACATTATCAAGATTATTTTGAATGCTAAACCTGTCCTCCAAGAGGTTTGCAGCCTCTTCCAGCTGACTTTTCTCTGCATATTGTATAAGTGGCATTCTTATTCCATCATCTAAGACATTAATGAAAGTTTTGAATACCACGAGATCCCAAACTGACCCTTGTGAGACATTACTGCCCAGTTGGATGAACACTACTCTTTGGAGGTAGATTTCCAACTAAATAGTTGCATACCCACCTTAGTAATTTATATACCATATTTCCCTAGTTCACCTGTGAGAAAATCATGTCCCTTACTGAAGTGAAGGTATATCACATATACTGCTTCTTTACACATTGTGCCTTTAACTCTGTCAAAGGTGGGAATTAAATTGATTTGATATGCTATGTTGTCTATCATTTTATTGCATATATAAATGGATTATTTATTAAATATGTTCCAATATTTTCCCAGACATTGACGTTAGGCTAATTGGTTAATAATTCCTGAAGTCCTACTTTGTTTTAGAGGTATATATTTGCTCTTCTTCAGTCCTCTCCCATCCACTATTAATTCTCCAAGTTCTCTAGCATCTTAAACATTGCTTCGGCTAATTC